ATGTACATTCAATCACATGCGGGTAAAACCCATTCCTCGGGAATCCAGTGTTAAGTCGAAATATGATAAACTAAGACCTGTGCGATGCACTGTGTTAACAAAGGGCCAGCATTATGGCATCTTCGATCATTTGTCGTGTGGCGGTCTACGAGCGTCTAAAGCTGCAACTTTTTTAGCATGAATAGTATGTCAAACTACAACATTAACATCGAAGTGCGAGGGATCTGAGTTAACACTTGTTTGGGATATACTGTTAAAGGTCACATGCAACCAAAAAATCAAACATCATTAAAACAAAATTATCACTTATTCATGACATATAATATACATTGCTGATTATGAAAAAACATATAAACAAAATTATAAGCGTCCAATCGCAAATCAAAAGTACAATATTTTGTACTTGGGTTAACTTACCTCGAAACAGCGGGTCGGCGTGCACTGAAGTGTAACGAGGCCTTTCATTGGCTGGTTCACTTGCCGATGCCCTCACGACTCATTGTGTGTGTGTGTATATAGAGATGTTGGGTTTTGTAAATACATGTTCATTGTTTTGGTGTACAGCATTTTGCAATCAACAGGCATCATAACGTGTCATGTGTACAAGTATCACACCTGCCTGTCTGTGTAATTACATAATGTGACAGACACCGAACTCAGGCAATAAATCAATGCGTTTTGTTTATGGTGTATACGCCTAATAGGTGTTAAGTTCAAATTGCATGTGGTCAGTGATCGAAGTTGTGTATTGAATATTGTAATTAGCAGACTGGCAGGCAGACGCATAGGTGTCAATAAAACAGACATTGAGTTTTGTCTGTGACAACGACATCTATATCACAGTTAGAAAATCTGTCAACGATAAAAAATGACATTGCTTTTAAGTATCGAACTGAGGAAGCGACTCGGTAAGAAGAACGTATGGTGAAATAGACAAATGAAATTATATAAACAGTTAAATCGGTAAACTGATGTCATAACATATAAAAAAAACTCGCGCCATTGAGATATCAACAAAACATTAGAAAAATAGCTCACATCAAAGCCTTCACCGAGTATTCACCGCCAGAGAAGGTGTTCCGTCTTGAAATGTCGAACGCCTCACTAGTTGACACATAGCTGAGTAGATCTAGATCCATACAAGGTTCTTTTATGTAATGAGTAGATTATTTACTATTTGTTTTGAATAGACTACTCCTGCTCACGACCCTATATTAAATCCGGACATCCCGCTTCCAAGCTGCGCGAACCTATTTCACTGCGCATGTGCTATGAGCGAAGCCCAGCCCAGAGATAAAAGACACATAAGTTCATTTGTAGACAGTTAAAGTAACTTGGCAAAACGACTATTAACAGTACATTGACTAGTATCATTACGATCATATTCTACGAGCCGATATTACTTCCCTACAACTGTTCATAATGACATATTGTGTCACATTATGGAATATTACCTGTGATAAACCGGGTTAAAATCGATTTTCAGGAACCCATGCTTGTCGTAAGAGGCGACAAACGCGATCAGGTGGTCAGGCTCGCCGACTTGGCTGACACATGTCATCGTATCTCAGCTACGTAGATCGATACTCATGCTGTTGACTATTTAAACAGTTCGTACATTTGTATGGTAGTCTGGTGACTTTGATGGTCATTTTCGGAGCGTCATGTTCTTTCAGTTGTCTTTACTATGTCGTATATAAAAATTGTAGATATAATATCTCTGACGTGTTTATCTGAACTTTTCATTGATATGTATATGGTGTACGAGTGTCTCATAGGCAGCTTGACAGAACATTGTATGTTTTACAGTTTCAATCTCTCTACTGTCACCGTTATATGTGACACAATACTAAAATAATGATCTCCTTCTCCTCCTCCTTCTTCTTCTACTGGAGACACGTGATTTTGCCTAGTGGGACTAAAAATCAACATGGTTGCCGTTTTCTTCTTTAAACAAGCCGTTAACGTTCTCTCTACCTGCCGCCAGTACATGGTCACATGTCCCACGTATGTCTGTTTGCCTGCACAGACATTTGACGAGGCTCTCGCCAGACCGAGGTAGTGTGTTGGAATGAACTGGCCTGGTGACGTGACTAACTGCACTCTAGATTCATGAGTATAAAACCAGGGACGGTCGTGATACGCTGCATTACAGCCGGGACCTGACTGGGGGAGAGAGAGCATACAGCTGGAACCTGACTGGGGTAGGGCGAGCACACAGCTGGAACCTGACTAGGGGAGGGCGAGCATACAGCGGGTGAGTATTGCTGATACTGTCAGTGCTGATTTACTGTTAGATGTTTGGAGAAGAAGTCAGCTACATGTTAAACGATGCATGTGTATTCATTCATGTCTTTGACATTGAGTCTAGATGTATCATGATACATAATTCAACTTATCGTGATTAAATCCAACAAATTTCTAGCTAATTTCAATAGCTTGACCATGGGTTCACCATTTTAACCCATATGCAGACAAAATGAACCTACAAAATTTCTTTCCGCCAAAGTCATTTTATGACAAAACAAGAACGACTGGCACACACATTCCAATATTTTGACAATAAAGGCAGTACAAAAGGCGGACAGTGCCGTGTTACTTGACTGTTACTCAGCAACAGTGCTTCAGAACACTGAACGTACTTCGATGTACTGACCCTTTCCGAACGACAGTTGCGACCTGAACGAATGATTCGGAGTACTAGATAAGGCCGTGATTCTTTCATCGCAAAAGATATAGAATGGAGGATCGTTTGAAGAGGAAGAGACTTCGACAAGAGTGCAATTTGCCGGTCGGTGCTTACTGTAGCGCTACTTGTTTCCGACCGCTGATTCCAGATGTCGCTTCACAGATCTCGCATGATTCTTAAATTTTAGAGGTTAGTTGTATTAGGGCCACATTAGGTTACTTCCAAGCTTATCCTAATCATTTAGACCCCTTTCCCAAATAAAAAGATGCTTAGCGGTCGCACCGTATGCCGATTACAGGCCTCGTTTTCCAAATAAACTCAATGTAGACTGAGGAAATTTCTCAATTCTAGACTTGCTCTTTTCAGATTTTAAAGTTTCGAGTTTCGTAGAGATGCCCAGATCGGTAAACAATCGGGTGCTGAAGACGTACTAAACAGACACTGACGTTTTTAAATAGCCCCGTCCTCCTGTAAAAGAATGTATTAAAAAAACTGAATCACGTGTTATGATACCTGAAGACAGAAGGAAAAGAAATGGGTGAACTCTTAGAGTTTTCGAAAATATTGTTTCATTTTGCCCATCATCATGAAGATGGCATGTGGCATTTTGTGAAATCCTTCGCCAGAGACTGGTACAACGCGGATGATTTCTGGACAATGGGGTTCCAGAATTGCATTGTGATGTGCTGACGGTATTTTATCGCCGTGCTTCGTATGGTAAATGTTATAGTATAACCTATCTCTGTTTTTGGTGTCTATTATTGAAATAAATATATAATTAAATGTAGAGATTCACAATAATTAAATATGCCTCGTCCTGTAAACATAAACTGATAGACGCAGAAGGACCTGAAAATACGAACCGCTTGATATGTGTTGAATAAAATATATGTTTACAGAGATGAAGAACAACCGACCAGCAGACCAACAATGTCTGTTATTTCGACATTGGATAGCCCCGTCCTCCTGTAAACGAATGTGTTAAAAAAAACTGAATCACGTGTTATGATACCTGAAGACACAAGGTAAAGAAATGGGTGAACTGTATTAAATTTCCGAAAATATTGTTTCATTTTGCCAATCCTGAGTATGTATCTATGAAGATGTTGGTTTGTTTGGATGAAATCCTTTGTCGGAGATTGGCCCAACGCGGAGGATTTCTGGACAAATGGGTTTTCAGGATTGCATTGTGAGGTGTTAACCTTGTGTTATCGACGTGCCTGGTTTACTAAATAGATTATAAAATATATCTCTGTTTTCGTGTCTATTATGAACCAAAATATATCATTTAATGTAAAGATTCACAATAAATTCAATTTACCTCGCCCTGTAAGCAGACGTAACAAGAAAAGCGCTCTATGTTTACAAAGTTGCACAACAGTCCTGCTTTCAACAGGCCAACAGTGTCTACTATTTCAATATTGGACACGAATATACACAGTGTTTTTGATACTATTTTCTTTTAATTACAGTCTGCGCAAGGGCAAATCATTTCGCAATGGCTGGCAAAGGAATTTGTTTACTAGCTAAAAATATGTTTAAGTTGTACGAGAAAACTGCTTGGAATCTGCATAAGCGCACGTGTTGAACTGTGTCAAACTGTAACATATGCCCACCATTCTTTTAATGTTGTACAACAAACACAGAAAAACTTACATTTTATCAAAATAGTGATGGGTGCTGCCCGTAGAGCAGGTCATGGTTACCTCCTTCAACACATGGTTTCATGTCAGATTTTCAGAGATGTTAATCCTGTCTGGACTTATAGCCCATACGGAACCTGCCTTGGTGCACATTTGAGGCGAATTATTCTCTGGCATTCGTTAATATTTTAAACTGAGCTGATTAATCAGATAATTAGGACTCGGGTGGTTCCTTGTCATTAGCTTAGCAGAACTGAGTAAAACGAGAGCATTACAATCATGTCAGTAAATCTAGTCTGTGATCATATTTATGCACAATAAATAAGAAGGGTGAAGATCAACACTTACAAACTAGTATTTGATCTTACCACTTTCTAATTGTATTTGGTTAAAGGTCAAGTGTCAATATATTGGGATATAATTGTTTTGAAGAGTGTGTGAGACGATGATTATTCTCCTCCACAGAAAATCCTACGAGTTTTCTGAAGGGGGAAATTCGAATGGTAAAGACTGGAGTAGGTAAAAGTTAAACAGGGAATACAATATTCTGAGCCGGGAAGAGAGACAGATATTCAAAGCAAAGGCAAGGGCAATATCTTTTACAAAGACATGTCAACAACATTCCTTTAATCGTTTTGGGCACGACTTGCAACTTATTGATGTTCGAGGTTTTTGTGACACAAGCAGATCAGACGAAGACATCAAGAAAGAAGTCATGAAATGTATGGCGATGTCATCTCCTGCAATACACGCCATTCTTTTCATCATTAGAATTGGAAGAATCACTGAAGAAGACACAGATACACTGGAAAGTTCCTGCAGTGCTTTGGAAAAGATGCTAAACGGTTCGTCATTGTTGTATTTACTGGAAAAGATGACTTGGACGTGGGAGGTGACACTCTTGAAAACTACATAGGCGATTGCCCAATGGAACTGAAGCAGTTTCTATGTTAAACAAGTCTTCGTTTTATTGCTGTCAACAATAGAGGGACGGGTGAAGAAAAAGAGAAATTTACCTGATCGACAAGGTAAAGAAGATGGTTAATGAAAAAAACGGCAAGTGCTACACAAATGATATGTACGAGAAATGTGAAGTTGACCTTCGTGAAGCTGCGAAGAAGGAAAAACTTGAAGGGAAGAGGCAGGAGGAATTCGAGAAGACACTTGAACAAGAAGCTGCTGCCTTTGAAGAACAGTTGCAGAGCCAGTGTCATAAAATTCAAAAAATGGAGAAAGAACTTGAAAAAGAACGAATGTCAAGGGAAAAAGATCAAGAAGACCAACTATAAGAACGTCCCAAGGCCTTTGAACTCAGAGTAAAGATCGAAGAGGAAAATAAACGCCGGGAAGAAGAAGAGAAGAAACGACAGGCAGGACAAATGGAGACAGAGAAAAACATGAGAAGAGAGCTTAAGATGATGAAAGATTTTCGGTAACAGACTGAAAAATATGAGCAAAAGATAGAAGAATTGAGACTTAAAGAGGCTCATAAACAGATACGCGAGAAGGTATCTCTCTCTCTCTCTCTCTCTCTCTCTCTCTCTGTCTATCTTTGTCTCTCTGTATCTCTGTCTCTCTCTGTCTCTCTCTGTGTCTCTGTCTCTCTTTGTCTCTCTCTCTGTCTCTTTCTTTCGTCTCTCTCTGTCTCTTTCTCTCTGTCCCCTCTGTCTTCCCCTCTCTCTCTGTGTCTCTCTCTGTCGCTCTTTCTGTGTCTCTCTCTTTCCCCTCTCTCTGTCACTCTCTCTGTCTCTCTCTGTATCTTCCTCTGTGTCTCTCTCTGTCTTCCCCTCTTTCTCCGTGTCTCTCTCTGTCTCTCTCTGTCGCTCTGTCTCTCTCTGTCTCTCTCTGTCTCTGTCTCGTTCTCTCGGTATCTCTCTGTCTCTCTCTCTGCTCTCTCTCTATTTGTCTATCTCTTTCTGTGTCTCTATGTCTATGTCTCTCTATGTCTATGTCTCCCTCTCTTTATCTCTCTCTGTCTCTCTGTGTCTATGTCTCTCTCTCTGTCTCTGTCTCTTCGTCTATGTTTCTCCATCTCTGTATCTCTGTCTCTCTCTCTCTCTCTCTGTGCTCTCTCTCTATTTGTCTATCTCTCTCCCTGTCTCTCTGTCTATGTCTCTCTCTGTGTCTATATATAATCTTTTATTCCTCAAAAGTGAAGAGTACAGAGAGAGACAATATTTATGCACTTATTTCAGGATTTTCATGCGCATTTGAGCCAATACCACGTTTTCTTAATCAGTCAAATGCAAGAGTCACAATGAGTCACTGGAAAACAGCTTTGTACATCATGGTGATGTATTTTATGCACAGAGTGAAAGACTCAATCAAGTCCTCTTTGATCAGAGGAAAGTCGGTTGTACACGACAACAAGCACTCTGTAGGTTCATTTGGGTTCATGTTGTGAAGTTTTACGCTGAATTCGATTGGCCAACATTTATTAGGCCTGTCCACAGTTCGTCCCGAGTTGCATCTGTGTATCCACACACAACTATGGCGTGCGTGAGGGGGTCATCGTACATCATCCCACACCGATGACACAGCCCTGCTTCACATAGGTCTCTCACTGTAGCACAGGCTTTGATGACAAAGTTAGCTTGCCGTCTGAGTGATGCATCAAGCAATGACACCTTCCACGCAGGGTGGACTTCAAGCTGGCGATGTATCCGCTGGAACTTGTGAAGATCAGAGTCATCTGCCAACCGACTGTTCCATTGTGCTACATGATACTCTCTGACTGAAGTCTTCACTATTCTCCTCCACTTCGAACGCCCTAGGAAGGACCCTGATTCTAGGAATTTTTCTAAGTGACAATAGAGTAGGTACTTCTTAAGCAACCGGACTACATCAGGCACATATCCAAACGATGACGATGAGACGTTGTGCAAGTAGCCCATCAACCGGGATATGAACAGCTTGTGAGGTAGATATCTGTGGTCCATATTCAAGAGACCACCCAGGAAACACAACTTCCACTGGTCTATAACTGCCTCTAGAGGCAACACTCCAAGGAGTCAAAGACAACTATCAGTTCGAGTGGTACGAGGCAGGTCTTGGATTGATTTAATGGCGTGTCTGTAAGATCTCTCCAGAATTAAGATCTCAACTTTGGAAAGGTTAGTCCACAGTTCCGACCCGTACAGGGCTTTGGGAAGAAACACATGGTTAACAACTGTCAGGCTGATGATTGGGTTTGTAAACCGTGGGTGAAACCCACAAGCTGTCAGTGATCTCACACCGTACCGCAAGGAAACTGCAGCTAGCGTCACATGCTCTATGCTTAACATGTTTCCTGACAAGACTATTCCAACATGGCGGATTGATTCCTTCCACGGGAGAGGTTGGTCATACAACCTGACTTCAACCTGCTCTAGCTGCTGAGATCTCGGCCGGCATGGAAAAGTGACAATTTCACTCTTGGAGGAGGACAGTACGTATCTCCAGCCGTTGCTGTATTCCTCCGAAATCCTCACCATCACTCTAAGGGCAGAGAGCCTTGATGAAATGAGTGCTACATCATCTGCTTGAGTGGGAGAACACACGCTTAAGTCCATCACGACAGCGCTGAGATTCGACTCAGAGAGTTTCTGGAGTAGGGAGTTTATGTACAGCAGGTACAACTTCCCTGACAGCACACCGCCTTGTCTGATACCCTGCATCATGGGGATAGGCCTAGAGCACATTGAGTCAAGGAAAACTCGACACATCATTCCCGTGTACATGTCGTCAAGAACAGTCCACAAGGAGCCTTTAACTCCACACTCGAATAACTTGTATTTGAGACCACTGTGCCATACTGTATCAAAGGCCTTTGATGTATCCAGGAACACAACATGGGTATCCTCCTTGCGCTCGTGGTAATGGCGTATCGTCTCTTGCAAGTTGAAGGATGTGTGAAGGGCAGATAACTGTGATTGGTATGCCATTTGTTGTGGGTGAGGGGAAGGTATCAGATTGATTTAGTCCGTCCAGTCGGGACAGGAGCACCATCTCAAACACTTTTCTCCTAGTCGCCCCCATTCCCGTGTACATAAAACACAACAAGCACACACTGAACAACAGGAACCGACGTGCGTTCCGCAGCCAATTTATTTACATTGTTTCATCACAAAACCTACATTCAACAATATGATACGTGAATAACGAAATGCATGCTGAAGCCCGACACGTAAACCAGAGATAACAACTCCCGTAGAGAAAAAAACTCTGGAACCGTGTTCCCTCAACGAATGCAGCAGCAGCACCAAAAAACTGGAGGGTTTACAGTATCGTTAACCTTAAACATGGACATAGCTGCAATCCAGCGATACGTTTATGTAGGTTGATGTGAGCATATGCACAACTGACAACAGCAGCATAAATTACATAAATATAAGCATTATTTACACAACATTCAAGCATACACCTGAGATTCATAATATACAGTATGCTGACAATTTCTGTCATCAAAACACAGGAGGTATTCGATGGACAATATCGTAGCCACCAATACATTATTCTCATATTACCGTAGTATAACCGCTCGACATTCCAAAATCATCGTATTATAACAGCTCGACAGCCAACATATGGTATACCTTCCAACATTACCGTATTATAACAGCTGGACAGCCGACATATGGTATACATACCAGTATTACAGTATTATAAAGGCTCGACAGCCGACATATGGTATACATTCCAGTATTACAGTATTATAACGGCTCGACAGCCGACATATGGCATACAATACCATATTACCGTATTATAACGGCTCGACAGCCATAAACCACCATGGTTAAATCACTCATGCCACATCACACGGACGATGATCATGAGCATCTGAAACATACAGAAATACAATATTAGAATACAAACATGTTAAATGCTGAAAGGCCGGGAGTGCACTAATCGAGAATGCCAAATTCAAATATCTACACCCTTATATACTCCCATAACACGCCACCTACCGGGCAGATAACCCATGTGAACACTTCATACCGCTAGGAGAAAATAATTTCCCTCTAATTCATACTTCAAACGATAGAAATAATATTTCTCCTAGTCGCCCCCATTCCCGTGTACATAAAACACAACAAGCACACACTGAACAACAGGAACCGACGTGCGTTCCGCAGCAGAGACTAGCAAAGAAAGTTAAAGGACCAGGGATAAGGAGACTTTCATTCTACTATTAACGCTGTCTTTGATGTAACCATCCTTAGCATTTTCGCTCTTCCAGCGCCCATGTCGTTTAAACATTCTGTCCGGTATCCCGTTATTTGCGGCTGCCGAAGCACCACCACCGCGCAGACTATGCAAACCATAGCTCTTAATATTAACCACGAAAGGTGACAAAGCATCCAAGAAAATTTCCCTTAATCTAGTATAGGATAAAGGAGCGTTAGTTTTTCTTAATTTATAACCATTACCAGTTTTAGTCAAACTTCTGAAAATGTATTCTTGAGACTCTGGTGAAATCTCCGCTGCTGTCAGGTATCTGTCGAGACATTCCACCGGACACAACTTAGAATGGGTCCGACTTATTACAAGCCATGCCCCATCTCTATATACATCTGTCTTCGACGTCTCAATAAAAACAGTCATATGAGAATGAAAAAAGACAATATCTGATCTTGTTATATTTAAAAGTTCTGCTGATCTCATAAACCCAGAATAAGCCAGTAAACATACAGCTAATATTCTAAAATCCGCTAATGATGCATTTTTACTCCTGGAATCGTACACTTTATGCAGAATATCAATATCAACAGGCTCCTTCTTCGTTACAGGCTTAGCTAATTTACGTTTGGCTGCTTCTAAGACATTCTTTACCAAACCATTATCAGTGGGACTATCCATCCCCATGCTATAATGAGCATATCTCAAGCTATAATAAGCTGACATAACAGGCGATATAGTGTCACTTTGCTGTACTACCGACAACAAATATATAGCACAGTGTAGATGAGACACTGGTAGCTGACACGGCATATCATTCAACTCTGCCCACCTTTTCCACGCAGCAAAACCATTCTGGTACTTCTTATTAGTTGACTCAGCTCTAGCGTGCGATATCAACTCTGGTAAAGCTCCCGCCAGCTCCCTAACATTGACTGGCAACTCTTCCAAGTCTTCCTTATACAAGGATTTGAACACATCTGCAACATATAGAAAACAATCAGGAAAAATCTACTAGCAGTGCCAACATATTAAAATGTAAATCATGTTCAAACATGCCACCTGGTATCCTACTTGGTACATAACATTGTTTTGACGATGGTAGATACATACCGTCCTTGACTTGTGGAATAAACACTGAGTTGCAACATATCAAAGGCCAAAAACATGCTGAATGCCATTCAGGCACTACCAGGGTTCCCTTAGCTCTGCACACAGACAAATGTTTCACTGCCCTAGGAATAAGCTGGATAGGGGGGACAACCCAGTTCATAGT